TGGCTTTCCATCCTCTCACTTTGGAAAAACGCCACCATCGGAACATAGTAGAAGCTATTTGAGACGCTTGGTCGTAAAGGAGCATTTCACGAGGTACAGGAGAGAAGTGACCAGCCACAACCCAAGACATCCACCCCCAGCCATATTGAATGAACCATTTCAGCGAAAGGGTGAGTCAATGCAAAAGCTATAAGTGGATATAATGAGACGGTGTGGTTTAGCGGCAATGGCATGATTTGAGCACGCAACTCCCAGGCTACTATAATGACATCCTACATCGCTTGACCACTACACCTCAAAGCTCTGGCAATTATTGTGGAATGCTACTTGAATTTATCTGTTCTCTTATATAATACTATTTAGTTAGTTGTTATAAAACTGTGAACTCTCGGATTGGATTAGTTTGCGTTCACTCCACATCTCTTTCAGTTCTTCTCACCCAACGGACAATTTTTGTACGCTTGGAAGTTACGTACGCCCAGATCGGCTTCCGCGTATCCAAACTGTTTGACAATAAGACCAGGCACTTATGCCGGCTGCCACGCCATTCGATCTTCAGGACACCACACTGAACCAGCCAGTTTACACAACAGTTGCAGCGATCCGACATCACCAGGCCAGCCGTTATTGAATAGCACATTTGTTGGGCTAAGCGATTCGACCGAATCGGACGACGGGGGCGATTTGGTCGTGGTGCTGCGTAAACCAGCTCCAAGTATACAAATCTATTCCCTCACAGGGAAAAAGACACGAGAATTTCAGGGTGATTTGCTTTCTCCCAAGTGTGTGACAGTGGACAAGGACGATCGTATTATTGTCGTGGAGAGTCACGTGAGTGATGACTTTTGACAACAATCTATTTCCAAATATAGTGTTGGCCTTAAAAATATGATTACTAAAGAGGCAATAATGAATTTATATGAGTAATTCAAAGTGTCACTTGGAAGACGGAGCTCACCACTTACCGATTGGATTTTGGCCCTGATCTTGTTTTATGTAACCGATTGATCATGAGTTCAGGCTGATAAAACCTCTGGTTTACGCAGATTTGTAAAGGACTCAAACATCAATAGTTGTAGTGCAGTAGGACTCTGATAAACTTTTGGAGAGTAGATAAGCGGACTTACTAACGTTAAATTTAAGGTATAGAAAATAAGGACTTTCGGATCTGGTTACCAGTAACTTTCGGTCTTCAACGAAAAACCGCTCTTTAAGGATAATTCAGCATTATCCGAGCCTTTGATCTTGGCTGTCTATAGTGTTTGTGAAAAAACTGCATCTGTAGTGAAATTCACGAAAAATTTAGAAAGTTAGAGGCTGATTACCATCCTTGGTATTCATCACTTGGACTGTCCATTGCTTGTTACGACGTGAAAAACGTAGTATTCCATAAATGGTTGAATACCTTCCCCAAAATGGGTATGGAGTTACATGCAACTAAAACCGAAATTGTTGGCAATGTGTCTAAATAGAAAGAAACGTTCAAAGTGTGAAGAAGAAAAAAGAGTACGAGAGACTATTCCTCGATTCCACAGTTCCTTTTAAAAGAGAATTTGAAAAATTCCGTTTGATGGGCTTTTGGGGTCATGTGGTCAGAAGTGACATAGTACTTGTGACCGGGACTCGTGAGGAAGTTGAACTAGAAGAGCGACGAGAATGCCAAACTCCGAAGAACAAAATCTGCGGTGACGGCGCTCAGAAAGGGACAGCAAAGCTGTCACCCGGTGCTGACCAAATGGTTGAAGAGTGGACGTTAGAGATGAACCAGCAACGACAGCAACAAGAAGAACGGTAACAAAAAGGAAAACGGTTCTGCCTGCTACCGCAAGGTCAAGTTCAACAAGCTACAGAACCACCTCAGTTGCATTGCTGACTGAAATCACGCTACACCAGTCGATAACAAAGTTTGGCTCAGACTGTTTAGCGGTATTGACTACCGTCCCCAGTGCGCACCTTGTTTGTATCTCTGCCCCCAGGACTTCAAAGATGTGTGCTATGAAGGTGGGCTTTGAAATCCAAAAGCTGAATATCCTATCGCGGACGCACGTTGATATCCTGACTAACAACCTCTTCACAACAAAAACCATTGACAGCCGCTTGAATCTTACCTAACACTAAATCAAATGATCAACATGACTCTGTTGTCGCAAGGATGGAATTCGATTGTGTAAGAACCAGAGTTATATTCTAGAAGAAAATATCCGAGTCCCAATAGGGGTGTCAATTTGTGCTAAATTCCCGGAAAAATTATACAGGGTTTCCTTATCCTCATATACAAGCTTTTTTAGTAATAAATGTAGCCTAAAATTCAATTCAAAGTGACTCTCGCCCATCTTACTCACGTACTTATTTTATCAGCTTCAGGTTCAACAGACTGACTAGACGAAGAGCATCGGGTAGCCGCGGTCACACACTAAAGCAAGTGTTTGACCTCCATAGATTGCGGTGGCTATAAAGTGTGTTACACTGTCACCATGTAAGTTTTCTCGACTTGGGATACTTGCCGGCGCAAGTTTATGCTATATTTCACACGGTTCTTAACTCCGTCAAATAAATCACGGACAATTCACTTTAGAACGAAGAAATCGGTCCTTGATTTGCTCAGGCCAAAGCAAGCAAATATTTATGGGGATTCACAACCGAGGCCTTCGGTCAGCCAAAGCCTGACCCACATGGGCAGTAGGGCGGCCTAAAACCTGCGATCTACCTGGGATCAGTGTCCCGTTCGTCAAATCATCGGTCCATTGGACGTATTCAGACGTTCAGGGAGCCCAATCAAGCTGAGGCAGATGGTGGATGGGACAAAGCTAAAGTTGGTCAGAATGAAACCCAGTATGGAGGGTGGGAAAATCCTAAACAGAGCTCTCAGTGGCTGCATTAGAGTTCCTGACTGGAGATTTCTTACAATCTTAATCGATGGTTACAGACTTAGTAGTGTAGCAGAGTGCCGTGTATCTCTTGTATCTGTTTATTTTTGACGCGCATTTTTTTACCTGAACCTAAACCAATACCGGAGAACTAAAATGTAAGGTCAGAGGTTTAGAAACCGGACACGGATCAAGGTTTAAACTTGAGGTTACCATGTAAGCCATGAGTCAATGAATCAGCCAAGTGAACTTCCTGGGTAAATGGATTGCTTCTCAGATAATACTGGTTAGAATGATTCGATAGACTTTCAAAGCTCTTCTGTGTAGAACAGTTGTTCCTAAAACCTTCCTTATGATAAAAAAGCATTCGAGGAATTTATGCCGTTTTGACAAAATCTGAAAAAGAGCACTCTGTTCATTTGTTTGAATGTTTATTTGTCTGTCTATCTGTCATTCTATCTGTCTGTGCGTTTACCTATCTATCTATCTATCTATCTATCTATCTATCTATATGTCTACTTGACTGCTTGGCTGTTTGTCCGTCCTTTTGACTGTTTAACTGTCTGTCTATTAGCGGTGATCCATGATGCATGGTCCAGATGCTAAATGAAGACTTTCACCCACTGCTATACTTTTGAAAAATCGAATATTCCCTACTCATCAGCTCTCCATCGTAACCGTTTATTCGGTCTGTCCCTTGAACCTTTAGTTATGTCGACCGCATAACCAGATACTTGTCCGTAAGTGTCCGTGAGCACCATATAGCAATAACTGAACTGCGTATGTGTTTCAGATCCAATCACTTCACACTCCATCCACTTTGGTTACATTGTCGTTCTACCACATCCTCGTGGTTGATAAAAGAAAAGAAAATCTCACTGACGTTTATAATCATTATACACATCTTCCATAAGACAACCCTTTGATGTGGACACAGTAAATTTCTCAACGAAACGAATTAAATCCATTGACCGCGCGCACGTGCAAACGTACAGCGGGTTAAAATGCAAGTACGAATGGACAGGTTAAAACCTAGTTTGAACGGTCTCAAGTTGCACAAAACAGTTATCTTGTGGAGCAGAACGTTGGATCATGAAATAAGTGATTAAATTCCATATTTTTCACCTGTGAGACATAGTGACGCTTCTCGGACCGCTTGGCCTCAGATACGGAAGTGAGATCAAGCTGTTCGGCATTTTCATTAACACACGCACGTTTGAAGACATACTGTGTCATGATCTTTATAAAATGAAACAAAGGCTCATGGTTTGCATGTGGGTGGACTGCTGTCAGTTTGCCTAGACTAAGGCGTATTGATTTTCGTGGAGAATTCACAACCGGAGCCTTCGTCTACCCAAAGCCTGGCCCCCAAGACAGCGGGGCGGTGTGGAGAAATCGCAATTCACTGGGGGCCGGTGGCCAGTTCAAGGGATTAGACACCGTTGGGACAAGGTCAAACGTCCAAGGTACCCAATATGCCTCGATGTCTAACTGAGCCGGTGAAAACTACCACAACCATGAAAGCATGTGTGGATCGTACGTTTCTCGTTGGTTGGTTTGGAATCAGGGTTTTCAGCCAATTCCCTAGATGAACTGCTGGTGGTTCACCGGATTTCGGCTGTTCTATATCTCATTTTGGTGGGAAGACACCTCCTGGAAAAGGTAGTGAATAAGGCTTCTTCAGCAGCAGAAGGTCTTTAAGACGCCTGATCGTAGAAAAGCATTTCACGAGATACAAGGGAAGGGTAACTAGCCTCAACCCAGGACACCCACTACCGACCATGTTGATTCTTCCGGAGGCAGTTGTGTGGTATCCGTAGCTCCTGTTCATACAGGCTGTTGTACTATAGCGGAACTCGGATGGTGGTAGTTAGTCAAAATCTGGACTGTTGCGGCTTAGGAATGAAAACAAAAAATATTGAGAAAATGTACGTGGACATTTGGTTAGAACAGTATATATAAAGTTCGTTGTTGCCCATACTCCTCGGGTTGAGAATGAACGTGTGTCAGACGAACACAAATGCAACAACGGATAGGATAGTTTTCACCTGGTGATCACTGAAATATTGACGGTTTTCATGGGCTAATCAAAGTTAAATAAAAAAAGAACAGACCTAGGTTTATAATGCCTGCTCTATTTATTTGTTTGAAAGTGTTGTTATGCATAAAACATCGTCTTAACCACACCTCCTTAGCAATTGTTTATAAAACAATCTAGTACGTATACTGATTTTTGTCTATTGAACCATAGTAGTTATCACACTGATTCTCACAAATAACAGCTTGTTTCACATTGAGACAAAAACAAATGTTAACATCTCGCTGGCGATTATCATCTCTCAGTTCTAACGAATTTGACCAAAGGGACTCAATGCAAATTATAGAGTGAGCTATGAACACGAAGACCCACGCGTACGTCAGATCTCACTTCCTGTATTCTGTCAACTTTGGAACTATCGCTCCACGCTAATGATATAAGAAATGAGACGTTGAAAACCAGAATGCCCTGGGTTTTGGACCCTTAGATAAAATAAGATGCTATGCACACATGTTAGTTACGACCCTAATTGTATTTTTAAGAGGGGTGTTTTCGATACACTCATACTCAACACATTTACACAGATCTATCGATCAGCACTGTCACTGCAAACAATCTGCGCTGATGGATAAGTTTGATTGCTTTGGTGAGTTAACGAGTAATCGGAGGGACCGTAAGAATCAGATCAATTTGACGCAGTTGAACCAGTTGACCACGTCATTTTATCGGATTAAGAGTGTTTATTTTCGTTGACAGGTGGACGGGTGATCGAAATATACATCTATGCAATATGCATCTTCTCCCCAGGCATCCCACATTTGTGAAACGGAAAGGGATTGAACACTCGCATACCCGGGGACAGCTCTAATGATCACAAATATTTTTGATTGAATTTATAATATGATGTTACAAAGATTTGGGATTACGATCACATTGTCAGATTT